TTTCCCATCTTCCATCTCTTAAGTTATACCTTGGGAGGCCTCCCCCAGCCCACAGTGTAAAGAGGGTGTCCCTTTCCACTGTCACAGAAGCATCCCGATGTGCAGGTGCCTGTTAACATCTGCCTTCCCCACTGATCTGGAGCTCCACAAAGGAGAGGGCACACACAGTAGGTGTGTGTGGGATGGGTGGCAGGGTGGGTGACCCCAGTAGGTGTATGTGTGATGGGTGGGAGGGTGGGTGACCCCAGTAGGTGTGTGTGGGATGGATGGGAGAGTGGGTGACCCCAGTAGGTGTGTGTGGGATGGATGGGAGGGTGGGTGACACCAGTAGGTGTTTGTGTCATGGAGGGGAGGGCGGGTGACCCCAGTAGGTGTGTGGGGGACAGATGGGAGGGTTGGGTGAGTGACCCCCAGGAGGCGTGTAGAGGGTGGGTGGGTGGATGTGGATGAACAGCACCTTGTTTCTTCTTCCCAGGTGGCTTCTGGCACAGCAGCTTAATTGACCGGAACCTCATTGATTATTTTGTTCCCTTCCTCCCCCTGGAATACAAACACCTAAAAATGTGTATCCGAGTGGAAATGCAGTCCCGAGGCTATGAAACTAATGAAGACATTGTAAGCAGAGTGGCTGAGGAGATGACATTTTTCCCCAAAGAGGAGAGAGTTTTCTCAGATAAAGGCTGCAAAACGGTGTTCACCAAGTTAGATTATTACTACGATGATTGACAGCCATGATTGGCAGCCGAGTCTCTGCTTGGAGTTGGAAAAGAAACAACACTCAGTCGTTTCTCACCTCCTCCCCCAGCTCCTTTCCCTGGAAGAGGAATCAGAGTGAATGTTTCCTGTTTGATGTGACGGGAATTCTCTCCCCGGCATTGTTTCCACCCCCTGGTGCCTGTAGGCTACCGAGGGACCATGGGCAAGGACATGAAGCTTCCCCAGCCCACACAGAAGGAAGGAGCCAGCTGCCAGCCCACTCATCGCAGGGCTCATGATTTTTTACAAATTATGTTTTAATTCCAAGTGTTTCTGTTTCAAGGAAGAATGAATAAGTTTTATTGAAAATGTGGTAACTTTATTTAAAATGATTTTTAACATTATGAGAGACTGCTTAGATTCTAAGTTGTTGGCCTTGCGTGTGTGTTTTTTAAGTTCCCGTCACTATAACATATACTGTGATGTATCTTTACTGGAAATGAGCCCAAGCACACGTGCATGGCATTTGTGCCACAGGAGGGCATTGCTGGGGATGTGGCTGGAGCACGAGCCAGCTCTGTCCCAGGATGGTCCCAGCGGACGCTGTCAGGGGCAATGAAGTGTTTAGATGAAGGACAAGTAGGTTAAGAGGACGCCTTCAGGCACCACAGATAAGCCTGAAACAGCCTCTCCACGGGTTTTAACCTTAGCAACAAAGGGAGCTGTGGGAATGATTTTGGCAACACTGTCAACATTTGTTAGAAGTATTTCCAGCTTGTCACTTGCCAGCCACTCTATTTTGCAAAAGGTGACCCTTCACTGTCCATTCCGAATGAGCCACATGTGCTCTGCTGGATTCTAAATTATGTGAATTTTGCCATATTAAGTCTTCCTCATTTATACTATTTTTTGTTACATTCAGTCAAATCCCCGAAACCTCCTATAAAGCTTAGCTGCCCCTTCTGAGGATGCTGAGAACGGTGTCTTTCTTTATAAATGCAAATGGCTACCGTTTTACAATAAAATTTTGCATGTGTCATTGGTGAGTACATTTTTGAAGAGGGAGAAGTGCCTCTCCACTGTAGGCCTTGTGAGGTGAGGCTGCGAGTGAAGACCAGCAGAACAATCCAGGTTGGAAAGAAAGTCTCACCCAGGGATCTGAGGATCTTACGATGGCTCTGTCCCCTCGCCCAGTGGTCTGGGAAGTCGCCCTCCATTGTGCAGTTCCTGGAGCTCCTGACACCCAGCCACGGAGTTCAAGTACAGCTGAGATGCCAGCAGGAACAGCACTGTAGACTAAGGTAAGCACTGTGTCCCCGCACGTGGGCAGTGCTCCCATGGGTGCGGCTGCTGCCGCGGAGAGCACTGCAGGAACCACTTCTAGTAGGCACGGAAGACGAGTTGGTGGCCTAAGCTGCAGGTCTAATGCAAGTCTCCTCTGCCTTATGGCTCCCCAGCCTGCATGGGGTCCCACTAGGGCACCCAAGCCCTAAAGATGGCTCCAGGCATTAGAAAGTTCTTGGTATTTAGCTGCAGCCGGCCTGTTACGTCCCTGGGAGTGACAGATGAGGTCTAATCATTCATTTGAAGAGTGTGGCCCAGGCACCAGAAGTCCCAAGTTAAGGAACACGGGTCCCCTGACAGTTTTTGGAAGGTTCAGTTTTTGTAGATGAGGCCATGTGGGTAGAACAGGAACTGCGTTAGACTGAGAACCAGACCTAGAAAGTTGGTCTCCTGGGAATTGAGTACCTTCAGTTGAGAAATTAAGGGAGTGGGTGGGGTGATGGTGATGAGAGGTTGTGCTTTCTAGTCCATCTGCTAATCCTCAATCCTGTGAAGAGGGTGGGTGTTAGCCATTCACTGACGAGACAATACCGGGTTATGTGTAATTAAGCCAAGATCAGATTAGCATTTAGGATTTTTTTTTTTTTTTTTTTTTTTTTTGAGACAGTTTCACTCGTTGCCCAGGCTGGAGTGCAATGGTGCGATCTCGGCCTACGGCAACCTCCACCTCCCACGTTCAAGCGATTCTCCTGCCTCAGCCTCCCAAGTAGCTGGGATTACAGGCATGCTCCACCACGCCCGGCTAATTTTATATTTTTAGTAGAGATGGGGTTTCTCCATGTTGGGCAGGCTGGTCTCAAACTCCCAACCTCAGGTGATCCGCCCGCCTCAGCCTCCTGAAGTGCTAGGATTATGGGTGTGAGCCACCACGCCCGGCCTCGGATTTCTTATTTACCAGGTTTTACCAGTTTCAGGGGTTAGGTTTCCTCACCTGAGCTCAGGTTCAGGATGTCAGAGGTCTTTACCAGTACCTCAGTTTCCTCCCACATTAATTTTGGGAGAAAGTATTTTATTGGAAGTCTGTCTTTGATGAAATATACATCAGCTAATTTAACTTCTGTGTATCTGGGGGAAGAGCTTTTAAGGTAAATACTGCTTCTGTATCGCAGATTGCCCACCCGCCTGTCCAGGGTACAGTGAGTCTCCCAGCTGTGCTGCTAAAATTCATTCTGAACTTTGGTACCAAATAAATTAGAAAAAAAAAAGTTAGCAAGTGGCATTTCACATGATAAAATCTAGGCTTTATTATTTTATATTCAGTAGGTCAATAAAGCTCTTGTCCACATCTTACAAGGGAGGTGGAAGAGGCGGGGTCATGATCAACCACGGCCTTTTCAAGTTACAAATCAGTAATAGCAGTCCAAAGGTGGCAAATAGGTATTTGTTGCATCACTGTAAACAGAAAATCTTGTCTCCTCTCAACCGGATGCCCAACATTTTATAAAAGAAGTGTAACTTAGCTCCAATTTGAGGATACGTACTAAAAATTTTAAACCTCACCTTGGTGTTTTTTTCAAGACTAAGTGTGATACCCTGTAAGGCATTTCCATGTCATAAATTCTACCGTATTTTTATGTAAAAAATGCTGCACATTGTTGTAATTGTGTCTGCAGCTGTGCTGCGATTGTGAGACAGATACAATGATTCACACTGGCTGGAAGCTAAGTCTCACGGCCCAGGGATCAGGGCAGTCCAGCCTGGCGCTGCCACAAAGGGTGGTGGTATCAGGTCACACCCAGGACCTGCCACGACTGTAGACTGACCTCGTTTGATCCACAGTTGCAACCACGTATTACCACAAATTTAACAATAAAAAATTGTTTTAAGAGTATCTGAGAAAGGACTAAGCAATCATTCCATTTTGTGTCCTTCCCTCGTTTTAAAATGAGCAATGTCCTTTAAGATCTGCAAGCTGACTGTTCAGTCTGGGCCCATGTCATCCTTCCAGAATGAGCACATCCTAGGATTTCAAATGGTTCTACAAAATAAAGTGAGAGATGGACCCAAGTATAAAGTCTTAACAAGCATCTCACCATGGAAACCAAGGACTCACATTGAAAGCCAGTGGTCTCACTGTGACTCAACTCTATGACGATAGATGGTTGGAGGGACTCGAGCAGTGAGCCAAGCTCAGATGTGGCACAAGGCAGGCTGGGGACGATACCAGCTGAGATGGTGAAGGATTCCACAGCCAGGGCTGTATTAGCAGCCAGAACAATGGACAGCCGGGAGAGACCTGTCTGTCCAGGTCTGCTGCAGAGGTGTTAGGTGAAGGCCCCACCCCACACACAGACAGGTCTGCCCAGATCAAGAATGCTCAGCAGGCACGGCCACATCCTCCTGTCAGACACCGTCTGCACCTCCACCCCCGATTGTAACTGAATATACTTCAAGTCAGTGAACTCTCTCTGTGTAAAGAACGAAACAGAGGCTGGGCGCAGTGGCTCAAGCCTGTAATCCCAGCACTCTGGGAAGCCGAGGCGAGCGGATCACGAGGTCAGGAGATTGAGATGACCCTGGCTAACACGGTGAAACCCCATCTCTACTAAAGATACAAAAAATTAGCCAGGCGTGGTAGCGGATACCTGCAGTCCCAGCTACTCAGGAGACTGAGGCAGGAGAATGGCGTGAACCCGGGAGGCGGAGCTTGCAGTGCGTGGAGATCGCGCCACTGCACTCCAGCCTGGGCGACACAGCGAGACTCCGTCTCAAAAACAAAAAAAGAACGAAACAGAGCAAAAGGATGTTTTCGGCCAACAAGAACCCAGCGCTCCCCAGCCTGCCGGTGGGAACCCAGTGCCCCTCAGCCTGCAGCAGGTCCCTGGACTCCTTCAGTCCTGATAGTAGCTTCTGAGGTGCGGGTGCTGTGAGTCAGAAACCATTGCCAGGCCTGCCATGCACAGCTGTTTTCAGGCACTTCTGTCACGGTCAGTACATTAAGTGTGAAGGGGATTTTAAAAGTTCATCTTCAGCTGCAAAGAAGAGCTGGACGGCTGTCATCTTGCAAAATGACAAATGTACGCAACAGATTCACGTGTTTTCCAAAATCAACTCTTAGATTCCATATCCCAGCCGGGCACAGTGGCTCATGCTTGTAATCCCAGCTACTCGGGAGGCCGAGGCATGAGAATCCCTCAAACTGGGAGTGGGGGTTGCAGTGAGTTGAGGATTGCACCGCTGCACTCCAGCTTGGATGACAGAGCGAGGCCCTGTCTCAAAAAAAAAGATTCTATATCCCCAAACTCTAAGGTGCAAACAGGCAAAACCCCAGAGCGGTCTTCAGGGTTCTTCGGAAAGGCAAGGCCTCTGCTGTGCGGAGCCTCCCCGCTGCCTCCTACCCCATCCAGACAGGAGCTCAGTGGAAATCAAGCCGCGACTGCACAGTCTTGCAGCCCTTGTCTGAGTAGATTTTCTCGTCTTTGGGGAAAAATGTCATTTCCTCTGCCACTCTTGTGACAATGTCTTCATCTATAGCAGAGCCACGGGCCCTCATCTCGGCCCTCACACACATTTTCACATGTCTGTACTCCAAAGGCAGGAAGGGGATAAAGTAATCAATGAGGTTTTTGTCGATCAGTCCACTGTGCCACAGGCCACCTGCGGAACAAGACAAAGCTGGGTTTCCCCGCCGCCACCGCCACCGCCACCTGGCCAAGCTCCAATCCCAGCCCTCAGCACGTGCCTCAAGTCCGTGCCCCTTACGAGAGTCTCCTGTCAGTGTGCAACAAGACCATGTAGGACTCAGCTGGACACTAACTGGTTTCAAGGACAGTACACCTAAGAAAATTCCAGACTTTAGCAAAGCCAGAAGTCCAGTGGGATCCTGTGGCTTTGTGAAACAATGCAAGAGCAGATGGCTCACTGCCGGACAGTTAAGGGGCTCCTTTACCCTGGTGCACTCACTGTGTTTATTATTGAAGACTCCAACAGACAGTACAGGTTCCAGGTCCTTCAGCTGAATGTCTTCCCTCTTTCTTCCGGCCCGCCAAAAGTCAAGAGCTGTCTTAGTTATAAGGTCCCCGCCTGCATTGCTGAGTTTGCCAGAGAAATAAAGATTAGAATCACATATTAAGACTTCTGTGTCAGCCGGGTGTGGTGGCTCACGCCTGTAATCCCAGCACTCTGGGAGGCCGAGGCAGGCGGATCACCTGAGGCCAGGAGTTCGAGGCCAGCCTGACCAACATGGAGAAACCCCGTCTCTGCTAAAAACACAAAAATTAGCCAGGCTAATGGTGGTGCATACCTGTAATCCCAGCTACTCGGGAGGCTGAGGCGGGAGAATCGTTTGAACCAGGGAGGCAGAGGTTGCAGTGAGCCGAGATCGTGCCATTGCACTCCAGCCTGAGCAACAAGAATGAAACTCTGTCT